TTGCATTTCCTGCACTGCATCCCTTTGCAGTGCGATTCGACGAGGGTTCAGAGCTGCATTTCCTGCACCCCAGCCGTGCAGTGCAGCCCACAGTTGCATTTCCTGCACTGCACCCCTTTGCAGTGCAGCCCACGGTTGCATTTCCTGCACTGCATCCTTGCAGTGCAACTCAGCGAGGGTTCAGAGCTGCATTTCCTGCACCCAATCCTTGCAGTGCAGCCCACGGTTGCATTTCCTGCACTGCATCCCTTTGCAGTGCAACTCAGCGAGGGTTCAGAGCTGCATTTCCTGCACACAATCCTTGCAGTGCAGCTCACATTTGCATTTCCTGCACCCCATCCGTGCGGTGCAGTGCACTGAGGTCTCAGAGCTGCAATTCCTGCGCCGTATCCTTGCAGTGCAATTCAACGAGGGGCTCAGAGCTGCATTTCCTGCACCCCGTATCCTTGCAGTGTGGGCGCAGCGTTGGGTCAGGTCCGCATCTCCTGCAACGCTGTCCTTGCAGTGCTGGGGTCAGATCTGCATCTCCTGCACCCCATCCTTGCATTGTGGAGTCGGAGCTGCATCTCCTGCAACGCTGTCCATGCACTGCAGCTCAGACCTGCATCTCCTGCACCCCATCCTTGCGTTCTGGGGCCAGATCTGCATCTCCTGCAACGCTGTCCATGCAGTGCTGGGGCAGATCAGCGTCCCCTGCACCATGTCTATGCACTGCAGCTCAGATCTGCATCTCCTGCAATGCTGCCCATGCAGTTCTGGGTCATCCTTGCAGCACGGGTGCACGGCAGCTCAGATCTGCATCTCCTGCAACGCTGTCCATGCAGTGCTGGGGTCAGATCTGCATCTCCTGCAACGCAGCCCATGCAGTGTTGGGCCATCCTTGCAGCACGGGTGCACTGCAGCTCAGATCTGCATCTCCTGCAATGCTGTTCTGGGTCATCCTTGCAGCACAGGTGCATGGCAGCTCAGACCTGCATCTCCTGCACCCCACCCTTGCAACGTGGGGCCAGATGAGCATTTCCTGCAGTGCTGTCCACGCAGTGCTGGGTTATCCTTGCAGCGCGGGTGCATCACAGCTCAGATCTGCATCTCCTGCAATGCTGTCCATGCAGTGCTGGGGTCAGATCTGCATCTCCTGCAACGCAGCCCATGGGCCATCCTTGTAGCACGGGTGCATGGCAGCTCAGATCTGCATCTCCTGCACCCCACCCTTGCAACGTGGGGCCAGATGAGCATCTCCTGCACCATGTCCATGCAGTGCTGGGTCATCCTTGCAGCGCGGGTGCACGGCAGCTCAGATCAGCATCTCCAGCACCGCTGTCCATGCAGTGCTGGGGTCAGATCTGCATCTCCTGCAACGCTGCCCATGCAGTGCTGGGTCATCCTTGCAGCACGGGTGCATCGCAGCTCAGATCTGCATCTCCTGCAACGCTGTCCATGCAATGCTGGGGTCAGATCTGCATCTCCTGCAACGCAGCCCATGCAGTGCTGGGCCATCCTTGTAGCACAGGTGCATCGCAGCTCCGATCTGCATCTCCTGCACCCCACCCTTGCAACGTGGGGCCAGATCAGCATCTCCTGCAACGCTGTCCATGCAGTGCTGGGTTATCCTTGCAGCGCGGGTGCATGGCAGCTCAGATCAGCATCTCCTGCACCGCTGCCCATGCAGTGCTGGGCCATCTTTGTAGCATGGGTGCATGGCAGCTCAGATCTGCATCTCCTGCAACGCTGTGCTGGGTCATCCTTGTAGCACAGGTGCATGGCAGCTCAGATCTGCATCTCCTGCACCCCACCCTTGCAACGTGGGGCCAGATGAGCATCTCCTGCACCACGTCCACGCAGTGCTGGGTTATCCTTGCAGCGCGGGTGCACGGCAGCTCAGATCTGCGTCTCCTGCACCCTCTCCTTGCCGCAATGAGGGTGCAGCAAGAAAGGCTCAGCTCTGGGAGCTCCGGGAGCGTGCAGTGAGCTGTTTTCCATCCAAGACGCCGGGCAGTGAGGCGCGGGGCGATGCTCCCCGACCACGCCGACGTCACCACGCATCCCGACGGCGGCGGTGGCGGCGGTGGCACCGGTGGTGGTGGCGGCGGCCACGTCTTCATCCACCTGGATGATCTCGACGGTGCGGGCGGCGGTGACGGTGGCGCGGCGTTGGTGACGTTTGCGGAGCTTGTAGAAAGCGATGAGCATGGCGGCGGCCAGCAAGGTGACGGCCACGAAACAACCGATGATGATTTTGGTGGTCCTCATCACCTCGTCTAAGCTGGTGTGAGGAGCCTCGCGGTGGTCGGCGTCGGCGGGGGGAGCCGTCGGCCCTCGGCGCGTGCCGCGGATCAGGATGGTGGTGGTGGCGGTGTAGGCGGGTCTGTAAGCCGTGGGTGCAGTCGGTGGGGTGGATTTGGCAGCTTTGGGAGCGGCGGCGGCGGAATCATCCGGCGCCGTTTCGGTCGTCTCGACGGTGACGGTGGTGAAGAAGCTGTAAGCCGAGGCATCCAATTCGGCGGCGGTGACGTTGAGGTAGGCGGAGGCGTTGGAGCTGCCGGCGGCGTTGGCCGCCATGCAGGTGTAGGTGCCGGTATCCGCCGTCAGCACGTGGGAAAAATTCAAGGTGCCGTCGTGTAAAACGTTTAAACGTGGTCGGGTGGATGCGTGGCTTAATATTTCCCCGTTTGGTAATAACCAACGGACCGCCGCCATGGCGCCGGTCCGGCATCGTAAAGCGGCGCCGCGACCTTCGGAGATGTTGAGATCCGTGGGTGCGTCGGCTAAAAAAGGTGCGGAACAACGCAATGCTGCCCTTTCCACCTCTAAAAGGAAACGGCCCCGCATGGCCGGAGGCGCGTGGCAGCGTCCGCAGCACGAAGAATTGCTGGGGATGGATTCTCGAAGCCACGCCGCCAACCAGAGGGCGTCGCAACCGCAAGCCCAGGGGTTGTGATGGAGGTGAGGCTCCACCAAAAAGCGTAAAGGGGCGAAAAGGTCGTGGGGGAGGGAGGTGAGGTTGTTGTGAGCCAGGTTGAGCTCCACCAGAGCCGTCAGTTCGTCGAAGGCGTTGCGTTCGATGGAGCTGATTTGGGAACTCATGATCCAAAGTTTGCGTAACGCGCGGAGACCTCGAAACGCGCCGGGATGGAGACGCGGGAAATGATTCCCCGATAATTCCAATTCTTCCAAACCGATCAGAGGGCTTAAATTGGGTACCTCTCTCATGTTGCACATCCCCAAATTGAGATATTTCAGGTTGTCCAAACCTTCGAAAGCTCCTTCGGAGATGTACTCGAGTTTTTTCAGCTCGCCCAAATCCAAACGGAGGAGGGAGGGCACCCGGTTGAAGGCGTAAGACGGGATGCTTTCGATGGGGTTGTTGCGAAGCCAAAGCTCTCGGAGTTTGGAGAGGTATTCGAAAGCCCCGCTGGGAACCACGGTCAACCAATTGTCGAATAATTCCAAAGTATTGAGGTTGGCCAAACCGCTGAAGGCACCCACCTCTACCTGACGGATGGAATTGCGGCCGAGTTGCAGCACTTCCAAACGGTGCAGGTGACGGAAAGTGTCGGCCTGCACCAAGGCGATGTTGTTCTCCATCAGGTTGAGGTATCGAGTGTTTGGGGGGACACCGGGGGGGGCGCGGGAAAGGCCGCGACGGGTGCAGACGACTTTGCCGGATTGGCCGCTGCAGGAGCAGGCGGAAGGGCAGGGAGGGGATGATGATGATGAGGGTGAGGATGAGGAGGATGAGGAGGATGAAGGGTTGGGGGGGGGGGAAGCGGAGGCGCAGAGCGTCCAGGCGTGCAGAGTCAGATAAGCCAGCAGTGAGGCGGGGGGCTGCCGCCGCGGGAGCCTCATGGTGGGGAGGGGGCATCCTTCAGCATCGTCTGGGTGGGCTGGGGTTTTTTTTTTTTATTAATTA